TATTAATAATAATAATAACAAAAATGACAATAATAATAATAATAATTATTATTATTATTATTATTATTATATAATATATTATATATATTATATAATAATATAATATTATATAATATAATAATATTATTATATCATTGTCATTTTGTATTATAATTATAAATATTATTATTATTATTAATAATGATAATATTATTAAATATTATCATTATTGATAATAATAATAATATTTAATAATATTAATATATGTGCAATATGTTCTTTTAATTGATGTAATTTAGTTGTTTTCTTCTGGCCAGAGCTGATTGGCTCTGCTTCTGACACCTCACAATCCGGACATTTGATTGGTTGTGATGTAGCATCACATGACGGAGGAATCCAGGAAGTATTTTCGTTCCACAAGGCGGAAGCGTATAATTTACTGAACCCAAAAGTGTTTTTAGGAGAAAACGTCGGTAACGAGGAACCACACGGTTATAACTCACCGTTCACAAGGCGGAGCGGCTGCTGTTTCTCGTTGTTGGTAAGAACACTAACATGTTATCCGTTTCCTGTTAGTATTTCCCCTCTTGGTAGCTTGAGATCAGCCTCGTCGTTGTTACAGACGAGCTTTAGCCTCGCAGCTAACTTCCAGCTGCTCGTTGTTTTCGTCCGAGTTAACATCTGCAGGTGTAGCCGGGGTTTGTGATGCAATCTGTTCATTTGGAGGTTGTTATTGTTGTGTTTTCATGAGAATGTGGTGTTGACAGTTCAAAGCTGGCGAGGCATTATAATAAAAGCTGTGTGTCATGTAAGTGCACCTTTATATAACGTTATATATATCTAAGTATATATATATATTTATATTTATGTGTAATCAACTTTTAAACTGCGTGTTCACTGTGTGTACAGCCATAACATCTTGTGTCATTATTAGTAACAGTGTTAGGTGAAAAGTGGCATGATGTTAATGTTATTGGATAAATGTCAGTATAAAGTGAAAACAGAATTTTATAAAAGGGTTGCTGTGATGAAATAAAAATGAAAAACTAGTCCGCAGATTATTTTTAGATTAATTAATTGATTGTTTTCTTCATACTTTTTCAGAAAATAGTGACCCGTGAAGGACGTCTTAAGAGATTTAGTTTTATCCATCAGTCCAAAAGCCCCCAGATTTACAATACACCTGTTTTCAATTTCAATCCTCACATTTTTTGATTATAAAATAAAATAAAATGACTATTAATAAGTTGTCAATCCACTAATCCGTTGGCCTCGGCTCTAAAGATAAATTATCATTATTTTTTTTATAATAAAATTACAAATGAGCTTTTCTTTGTCTTACATGGCAAACTGAATATGTTTCAGGTTAGAGCTGTTGTTCAAAGAAAACAACATTAAGGAGACTATTTGTTATATTCACAAGTATTCAGCGGATTAATTCAACTTCTGTAACAAGTAAAGACACGAGGAATTGTTCCTAGATGAGAATATTTCTTTGACCAAGCTGAATCAGATCTTTATTTGAAAGCAGATTGTTCTGTGTGTCGGTTCTCAGAAGTACATCCACTGATTTGACCTGTTTTTATGTCTTAAGGTAGACCGGGTCACTGCCCAGCCAATCCAGTTCTTCCTCCCGGGAGTTTGCTTTCTGACCTCGCTCACCATCAGTGCCTGTTTGTCCAGACTCGCCCCCCCGACTTCACACCTCGTTGACCTGTAGTTTCAGCCCATCTCAGGCCGTCTCATCCGTAACTTTCTCTGTCAATGGCTGGGCGCGGTGGAGGAGCAACCAGGCCTAATGGTGCCGCAGTAGCAAACAAAATCTGCCAGTTCAAACTGGTGCTGCTGGGGGAGTCCGCGGTGGGCAAGTCCAGCTTAGTGCTGCGCTTTGTCAAAGGCCAGTTTCATGAATTCCAGGAGAGCACTATTGGAGGTAAGAGAGAAAATGTCTACACCTTTTGAAGGAGGGGGTTTTGTTCAAAAAAGGGCTTTGGTTGTCTTAGTAGGTAGATTGTGTATATAAAGGATAAATCTAATGTATAAACATGTTATAAAGACATTTTCATTTACCAAAATACGTTCTCAAATGTTAAGCAGCTGTACATTTAAATCAGGGACTATTCAATTAAAGAAAAGGTGAAAGTGATTATAGATTTGACAAGTGTCTGTACCAAAAAAGTAAATAAAGCATTGGACCAGTATTTTTCATTTTAGGGGCTTTGTTCCATTTCTAGTAGGGACACACAATAATTACAGAGACGGATACATTTTAAGTTATTTTACATAATCCCAATAATTAAATTACAGTAAAGTTATTGATCCATTATGATTATTATTTATCTTGACTTCTTATAATAGGCTTTATGTTCTGTGAAAGCCAAAGTGTGTTTGTGAAGTTTTTTTTGATTAATTGAACATTTGAAGAGTCCGAACTGTTGTTTGTTGTTAAGAACAGTGGTGGCTGTTAGATCTGGTTCTGTCAGAGCTGTGGGATATTAAATCATCCATCTTTACTCATTACATATTAGCCTTTCTTACCATCAAGTGTGTAAAAATTACAGCTTATATACTTAAACTATGAAATGATTGTCTGTCTAATCAGTATCATGAGAAGCAGGTATTTATCTTTTAGTGTATAGACTGAAAAACCCATCCCTAATTTTAAGTTCAACATTGCACTAATAATAAAAAAAATGGCTTTTGAATCCAAAAATTTAACAATTGGGCACTTGTGATAAAGTATTCTCAAATTGTGGACCTTCGAGTTGAGATTATATTATCACATATACAGTTCCCAAAGTCAAGAATGAACTCAAGAATGCTTTAAACTAGTAGCATGTTTCATTGAATGCTCTGAGTCAGATTCATGCTTCATTTCAGCAAATGTAACAGGACAGATATGTTTATGTGGCGTGGAGCTTGTGTCCTAGCTCATGTGAAGTGATACGAGTACAGCCTTAATGAATATGAACATGAACATGAACAGGAGGATGGACTCTAATGCTTTATCATCTCACTGATCTCGTCTTCCTCTCCTCAGCTGCCTTCCTCACTCAGACTGTCTGTCTGGACGACACCACTGTGAAGTTTGAGATCTGGGACACAGCAGGTCAGGAGCGCTACCACAGCCTGGCTCCAATGTACTACAGAGGCGCTCAGGCGGCCATTGTGGTCTATGACATTACCAACACAGTAGGTTTCACATGCAGAGGAACAAAAGGGGGGCAAAGTCTTATCAGTCAGTAGCAACATGACAAACCCTTGTTTGAGCTGTTTTAGTTGTACTTTACTTTAATGTTTTTTTTTTCCTGTATTTTTGTTTGTGACAGTAAAAGGAAGCTATTTTCAAAAGTTTACAGAGTTACAAGGTTGAGCAATACTCCAAGAATTACCTAGGATACAAGTCACTCTCCAATTTTATGCTCTGTGTTTCAAATCGTGTGACATCTAATCTAAAATTAGACCTGTACGTGTTCAGACATGTGGGTGTTTTGTGGTCACGTCTTCAGGTCCGGTGTCGGTCAACGTCTTGTAGATTTATGCAGAAGTGTAAATGCTGTAAAGTAAAAATGTTCCACTAAGGGTAAATATAATTGTAATGTGAATACACACTACGTCAGAGCAATATTGATAAAGTTTGTTGCTCGATTAGGATACTTTTGCACGAGCAAAAAACTGGGTGAAGGAGCTGCAGAGACAAGCCAGTCCCAACATAGTGATCGCTCTGGCTGGAAACAAGGCGGATATTGCAAACAAGAGAGCTGTGGAGCTTCAGGTATGAAGATGCAAAAATATAAATGAACTTTGCATGTACAGGAAAATGATTTCAGATATTCAAAGCCTTATCCTTAATTTATTATATCATAAAATTGTAATAAACTTGTCAGTACAGTAAATGTATAATATTATCCTCCATATTATGTTCTTAGGAGGCACAAACATACGCCGATGACAACAGTCTACTCTTCATGGAGACCTCAGCCAAGACTGCCATGAATGTCAATGAAATTTTCATGGCTATTGGTAAGTGCATCATCCTGTTGAGTCAGATCTTCCTTCCCACTCCTCCCACGGATGGATGGATGTCAGGCAACACTTTAGTTTGCCACCCCCTTATTTCTGCAGAAAAGTTGACTTGATCACATATTTCAAACCAGAAAAACTGACACAACTTTCTTGAACCTGACTTGAATCGAATGTTTACTGTTAGATGGCTGGATTTTAATTGTACTTTTAGAAAAGACAGCTGATAAACAATGAAAACAGTGCAGTGTCTAGTGGATGTCTTTGGGAGGGAAAAAAAGTGTGTTTATTAGTAATTTGTGCTCTTAAATAATTAATCATGTGCACAGCTTACATATCTGTGTGCAGCAGGCTGAATCTGACATATGTCCACAATGCTTCATCCAAAATCAACAGAAACTACATTACTCAGATACAATCTGAAAGAGCTGCTGGTGCTAAGAGAGTTCAAGTGGAGAGATCTGTAACTTTCAAGGTTGTAAATGTGATACTAGGCTGCGAGCCTGCTCCTAAAACTCTTGGCGCTCTTCAGGAGCTGACCTGAGTTGCCACAAACAACCTGTAACTTAAGTGCAAGTCATTTAACTAATAAACTTTTTATGCATTTATGCCCCTATTTGATAATTAAGAATAATTAAGAGTGTAGAGATAGGCAGGAAACACGGGCAGAGAGAGGATGGTTATAACATAGAACAAGGGTCAATCATACCGGGGACATTGTGGTTATAAAGTATACATTTTAACCATTACACCATCAATTAATTAACTAATTCAACAGCACAAATACTAATTGGTTCATTTTTTCCCCACGACACCTTCTGGATTTTATAGAAACCACTTTTGTTTTCTTGTTTTTGTCCTTTTGTTTTGTGTGTTAAAACTCTAAACTTAGAACATTTCTGTATTTAAACATCTGTGATCTCGTCCCTGTAGCGAAGAAGCTACCGAAGAACGATCCTCAGGCTGGAGCTGGACAAGGGGGACGGACCAGGACAGGAGTGGATCTACAAGAAGCCGCTCCCCAGAGCCGCAGCAGCCAGTGCTGCGGCGGGGGCAACTAGCAAGTACGAAACAATGAACTTAGTGAGCGAGCCCTGAACATCGTTTTAAGGACAGCACGTAGCTAAAACCCAGAGAGGCAGGAGAGGGCAGAGCCACTCGCCACCCCTGCACTTAAACTGAGATTACAGATGAGATTATCTGGATCCTCTTTGATTTAAGGAACTTTTTTTTAAAGAATCATAAGCTAGAGGGAATTACCAAGATCCCTCACTACTTCTCTTCTGTCTTTCCCCCTCCCCCCTGTGTATCTATCTACCTCCCTGTTCATCTTCAGCCTCTGTCTCAGTTGATTGAATTCTGTATTAAATGAATTATTATTATTTTTTTTTTTTTGAAGGGTGATGCTGAGGTTGTTTGCCATTTTCCCTTTTTGTTTGAGTGTGTGTGTGTGTGTGTGTGTGTGTGTGTCTGTCATGTATGTGTATGTATATAGTACATACACATACAGTACGTGTATATTGGCAGTTGACTTTTCTACTATTGTAATTTCCCTCAACATTGATCATCATCATGACAGATACAAATACCCAACTATTAAGGATTAAATTGCAAATGACAGGAATGAATCTTTTGGATTTTTGTCTCGTTGCAATTTAGATCACAGCAATTTGTTCTTTTTTTAGGGACCTGAACATGACACAGTCACAAAGGAAGCTCCAGACTTTGCTTAAAGCTGGTAATGATTTAATAGGCTATACATCTAAAGTCTAAAGATGTTTCTGAACTGTCCAACAAAATGCAGTTGTTTGCACTCATTGTGTATTGATACCTGTAACACCAGAGAGTTGTTAGCCTTTTTTTTTTTTTTTTTAAATGTGAAATGTGAAAATAACTTGTAAATCTTAAAGGTAATAAATAACATGCAAGATTCACTTTGTTTTGGCTTGTTTTGCATTGTATGGCTTTGAAAAGCATTTCCAATGATTATTTGCATGTGTGATTTTTAAGTCTGGCAGTGCAGGTTGGCCGCCTGGTGGGTTCAAACCACTCTGGCCTGGTTTGGTGTAAGAAGCAGTACAGCCTCTAAGGCCACAGGCAGGGATTTTTGATTCGTAAGATAGAGATAGAGAGGCATGATTCATTCACATTAATAAACTGCGGTATCCAAAATCTAAAAAACAGTTGTCGTGGGATCATCTTATAATCAGGACTGTCCTAAAATTGGGCCCAAATTCTTCATACAACATGCTGGTGGTTTGAAAATGTCACTGTGCGATGGCATTATGCACGTTTAAAGTATCATTGTGCATGCAGCAAAGAAAGGTAATAAGTATTTGGTCATTAGATTTTCACCTTGTTCCCTGTAAGCTAAAGACATAAAAATATAGCACGTGTTGCCTCAATAAATCACCTGAATGGCTTCTGCAGGGCTGATTCTGGCACTTACAGTAGCGAGCAGGCTACTTTAATATATGTTGTTATGCTAAATACACATTTAATTCTATATAATGTTCTTATTAGGTGGCTGATTCAGAGATATGTCAAGGTGTGTCCCTGCCTTCTCCTCAAGGCGAGTCTTCAGTGTCCTTCAGTGTCTCTCGGCAGTATCTGCTTCACCTTTTCTGAATCCCCAGAAGCACAAAAGGGATTGAATGCACTGATCTGGAACAAAGACATTTCTGTCTGTTTTAAATCAATGTTATTCATAAAGTTTTGTTAAATGATTATAAAAAACAAAATCAGCATTATTAAATGGACAAATGCTGAGAACAGATCTTTGATCCAGTTACTAACAAATGTCTAAATCAGATTTTTGGCCAATTCAAAAACAGTTTTAGAATGATTAGAAGTCTAAAATGTACATTTGTAAGAACCTGAAACAATCAGAATAGAAATATCAGTATGTACATCAGTAGACGTTTCCAACCACTAGATGGCAGCATCACGCTTGAATCCAGATTCATAAACACAAATGGGTCCTCGTGAATGCACTTTTAATTTAATTTATACAGGGTCAATATTGCATATAAAGTAAAAACAAACAAATAAACAAACACATCAATTCAGCTGATACAATTAGTAGAGTAAACAATGTGACCAAAAACTATACTATACTATAGGGTACTATACTATAGCTGATTGAATGTCATTTTTCAAGCAAAAAAGCCAAACTGCGTGTGTGTATTTGTTTGTGGTAGAGCTGTTATTTAAAATATTAAATGTTAATATAAAAAGGAGAAACTCTCACCCACAATTTAATGGCTTGAAGAAATCTAGTACACAGTCGGTGTTTGCATTAGCATGCATACCCATCCGTGTGTATGTGTGAAAGTGTACAGTGTGTGGATTGACTATGCAAAAACCCATTACTGGCAGAGAGAAAAATAATGCTGGCGTGGTAGTGGTGTGCTTCAACGTGTGCTCACCTACAGCTCAGTTAAAGAGTGATGTCTATGGGTTAATGGAGCAGGTCACTTTGTTGTGGAGAACGGTGACCTTTTAATAGAGGTGCTTGAGGCTCTTTGAGGTCTTAAGTCTATTATTTAAAGAAACTGTTCATTAAATGGCATCCACGCATCGGAGGTATCTGTTAAGGTTTTAGAAATGTGTTTGTAGCAGTGGTCTGAGCATTTGAATGCAGACTACGTATCAAATAGTGAAAATATTGTGAACATACTCTCATTTTAAAGAGAGACAGTAGCTGAGTTTCTATCCACATTCAGCACAAAACTTCCAGAAACAAATTTCCTGAAAATCGTGTGTTTCCATCCACTACTGTTGTGCAAATATTAGGAATTGTGCGTATCAAGAAAAACATTTAATTCTCGAGTCAAGTGAACCGTTTCAGAAGAAGAGGGGGTGACAAAATTATCTAATTAAAATAGCACCAGTCAAACCTCAAATGATGAAATATGGTATTTATGTTTGTTTCATGTATAAGTTGGAGGAGATTTAGGCTTCTCATCGCTCCATACAGATTGGATATTTTAAGTTATTGACAATTTTCTTCTCTCCAGTGGAAGATCAGTGTCATGTGTTTCCATTACGCTTTTTTCGATACACCAACTTTTTCACTTTTTTTTGCATATTTTTTGCAATACTGCTGACTTTTTATGAATTTCTGGTGTTTACACTCAGATTTTTTTTTAAGGGCAAATTGAAACTGCACATAAAAGTTGGGTGGAAACACACTTTATGTAACTTTTGAGAGAAGAAATAACATTCATTCTTCACTATAAATGAAGAAGAAAGCACTGAAATGTACCCCCCTTAATTCAATACACTTTTGCCAGTAATGCCCGCTAATGTTAGCAAAATGAATTTAGGTATTGCTGCATAACTCACTTCATAAACACTCAAACTAGACAAGGGCATTTCCAGAGGGAAAGGCCTTATCCCCACCTCTTCCGCTCTGTCTGTCAGAGGCTGTAGCGGGTTCCATTTTGAAGCTAAAGTAAAGATACTGGTATCATATGAAACGAGATGACCCAACACACCCTTTGGTACCAACAAGGTGATGTTATGTCATGTTAGCAAGTTGGGAAGGGGATTAAATAAAACTCCAAAGTCTACATTTTGGCAGTGGAAAAACTGGCATGGCCATTTTCAAAGGGACCCCTTGACCTCTGACTATGGGTGTGCATTTCTCCCTTCTACAAGGATCCAATATGTATCTAGATATATCGGCAACGATACAATTCAGAGATGATTCATTTTTAATATGAAACGATTCAGTTCAATTCGATGTGATATGATCCAATCGGATACAGTTCTTAACATTTGTTTAACATTTATTTTCCATAAATTAAAATAAGCTAATTGTATTAAAGCGACACTATTTACCTTCAAATACATATATCATATAAAATACCAGGGAATCCTAAGTATTTATTTTCTTTATAGCATTGGAAAAAATGAAAGACAATCATTTCAGAATTACACTTCATTGTGTTTATTGCTTTTCCAAAAGAAAGACACAAAGACTTTGTGCAGTGATTACTTAAGACCTCACTGAGTTGTAGCTACGTTGTGGCTGGAACGTGTTTAAAATCTGTGTCTCGCATGTTTTTTCTTGTGCTAGCTGTATTAGCATCCACAGACTCCTCGTTGCCAAGACAAGATGTGTCAAGATACCACTGTACTTAATTGCTGTCTGACAGATCTTTCAAATGGCTAGACTTTCCTTCCTTCTTACATTCTTAAATCCAAATGTCTTCCAAACATTAGATTTTAGATGTGATGGTCAGACATGTTTGTTTATGTATCCACCTCACAAGCTACGCTGCACTAACGTTACTGTCGTCGCTCTTGTTATCAAGACCCTCACTTTGACCTTTTACCTTTCACCAGAGTGGAGACGCTGTTAGCAGCAAAGCTTCAGTCAACCCATTCATAACTTCGGACAAGCAATCGGACCTTCGACCGGTTCATGGTACATTTAGATTGATCGGAGGGTTTGCGTACTGTTGTTTGTTGCTGACATCTATAATGCTTGGTTCTCAGTCTGTATCAATGCTTGTTTTTCCTGTTTCTGGTGTACCCGACCTTTCAAGTAACATTTCCAGGGGATTATAAGAGTATTTCCTGATTCTGAGATTCTGATTCTGATTCTAGTAATGTAAAACCAATTTTCCGACTCATGTTGGTACAGCTCTGTTACACCAACCTTCCTCGAACCTCCTTGATATCTGAATGAAAATGGGTTTCTAGTAGATAGCCAACTAAGTCGCCCCTTTGTTAGATCAGTTTTGGGAGGAAGGCCTTGCAAGTTTTCATGTGGTAGGTGAATGTGTGTAGGTTTCACCCTAGTCATACTTGAATGATTTCTGCATCGTTGGGGTTCCATAAACAGTGGTGTGAGAATTCCATAGTGTTGGGAATGACTGGAAAAGCTGAGACCGGGGTCGGATGCCACAGCCTGATAAGTCAGTGCCGCTACTTGTGCCATCGCCCGGTCAGTAAAAGTCTGGAACCCGCCCCTCAAGCCGCCGGAGTACAAGCTTGTCGTTTAATGCGTTCACTGGCGTGAATGTGAGATGGGCATTTCTAATACCACCAACTAACATCGCACACAAGGAAGTCAAAGTGTACGATTCGTTTTGAATTTTGTGTTCATGAATGGACTCCATGTCATGTTTTTTCCCAGAGACAGGAGAGCTACTATTCGAAAGGAATATGTCTTCTGTTTTTAAACGGTTTCTCAGTGTTTCCAGACACAACAGGTACAGCTGATTTAAGTCTGTTCTGTTGCTGACTCTCCACGTAAACACAATAAAGAAAAGAACTACAACCCATGTAGGAAGGTTTTTTACACCGAAATGGTGTAACTTGTGGGGGGTTTTTTAAAGGCTGACAGCACTGGCTATTGTGGGTTTATTGGATGCCTCAGACCCTAACATTAAGGATCCGCTTTTCAAAGCCATTTGAATACACACAGGCAACAACTCGCCTCAGAGCGGTTTTGTGCAGCTTAAATCCTCGGCCAAAGAGCAGTGCGAACGTTGTGGGGCTGGGTCTGTTTGTCACAGTTAAATTGAATGATTGTCTGTCAATTTGTGAGTCTTGTCAATCTAAGGTATGTTTGGGTTCGTAGCCAAAAGTTGCAGTTATTAGAGAAAAGCTAAAATATTTTTCATACTTTTGGTCCGTGTGATTATCAATAATGGTTTGTGATTGAGATTGGACATGCCAATTGTGGTCCTGCGTAATCTAGGTTAGAGGAGGATATATAGACAGAAGTATTGAGAGCAGATAGTTGCGCCTGGTCAATAAGATAAATTGCCACACCTTGTGTGGTTCACCATTCTCTGTAACATTATGCAATCCGTGGTTGTGAGTTGTTGAAAAATAGGTGCATTACGCGAATTCTGATTTATGGTTATTCGCAACCAACAAATTGATGGTTGCTCACTTTATATACATGAGTTTGTAG